GGGGGCAATTACCTAAAAATTGGTACCGGTGGGGGAAGGGGGGTCCGCGACGACGAAGGTCTTCAAACTTTCAGAAACGGAGTGGTCTAGCTTTCACTTCCGGAACTTGCCTCTCGGTGGATTCAAACTGGCTACCTTCCAGTGAATAGACCAGGCCTTCACCATTTCCCGTGGAGAAAATCCTGTAGCGCAGTTCCTCCTCCAGAAAAAGTGCAGGGGCGTTCGTGGGGATGGACTCCAGGTTGGTGGACGAATCCACAAATGCGGGCTGGAGACTGGCCTGGAGATCTGCTTCTGACCAGAGTCCAGCAAGAAAGCCCTTTAAGGCACAGTTCTACTCGCTACCACTGGGGGCGCCGCGGGCCAGTCTGACAACTGCTTTTTTGATGGCTTTATTTTGCCTGTAACACTTTGGTAGGTTTAGGGACCACGGCGGCTGAGCAGATGGGGCAGGGGTGAAAGCGTTCAGCTGTCAATCTAAAGTGGGAGGTTTCGAGCCCACCAGCCCTTCTGGAGAACGACGTCAGCCTCCTTGGGGCAGAGGGGCTCTGCCATCTCCGGGGTGGCTCTGAGCTGGGGCTGTGTTGCTTTGGCTTCTTATCTCGCCCTGTGGACCATGCCTTTATTTTCAGCTGTTTTGATTGCTGATGGAACTATTCTAAGCAACATGAGCTAGACTTGTTAACAACATCAACCTGAACGTAAGTTTTGAACTCGCAAATCCATCTAAACGTATTTCTCTTGTTTCCCATGTACAGTTAATATTTCCACATCCTTGGTCTGTGCTTTCTATTCATTCTTTTCAAAAGCGAACTATCCTGTGAAGGAAACTGCTCTGAACTTCAGTGTGCCCGTTGCTTTGAGGGCACATGTTTACATTTCTCTGGTCTAAATACCTTGGAGTGAAATTGCTGGGTCAGATGACAGATGTGTGTTAACTTTATAAGACATTTCCAAATTGCTTTCCAGAGTGGCTGCCCCATCTTTCCCCCTACAACCTACAAGCAACATGTGAGCATCCAGGTTTGGGCTTTCTCCTCTGGGCACATATGCCCAGACCAGGTGTCCAGCTGGATGACTATTCTCTAATATTGAAGACTCCATTCTGTCTCTCACCACTGGTCCTGAAGGGATCATCCGCCCTGGTTTCCCTGTTTCCAGTTCCTATCTGTACCAGTGTACATCCTCTGGTCAAGCCAGATTTGTAAGGTAGAATTGAGATCATGATAGTGGCCAGAGGGGGTGGGGGGGGCGGGTGAGGGGGGATGGAGGAGGAAGAAGTATTTAGGAACCAGAGGAAAGTTGTATGTTTCATCATTGCTACATTGCACCCTTACTGACTCGTCTTCTCCCTACAATCCTTCTGTAAGGGGATGTCCAGTTGCCTACAGATGGGTCTTGGGTTCCCAACCTGTACTCCCCCTCATTCACAATGATTGGATTTTTTTGTTCTTTGATGCCTTATATCTGATCCCTTTGACACCTCGTGATCACACAGACAGGTGTGCTTCTTCCGTAATCTCTATGTGTTTGAATTTGCTCAGGCTTGACAAGTGTCCCAGCATGTGGTCTATTTTCAAAATGTGGCATGCGCACTTGAGAAGAAGGTGCATTTTTTTTTTTTTGCATTTGGATGGAAAGCTGTGAAAATGTCTATCAGATCTAGTTGCCTAATTGTAGTGTTTAGCTCTATAGGCTCTTTGTTGAGTTTCCTTCCAATGATCGATCTTTCTCTGAAAGCCGTGTATTAAAGTCACCAACTCTAGCTGTTGAATCCGTGATATCTTTTTTCATGTTCTGAATAGTTTGACAAATTTTGCAGGTCTCTCATTTAGCGCATATATATTTATTATGCTCACTGGTTCCTGGTAATATGATTCTTTGAGCAGTATAAAGTGCCCCTCCTTATCTCTTTTTATGGTTTGAACCGTGAGATAAGTTTTGTCTGAGATTAGGATTGCGATTCCTGCTTTTTATGAGTTACTGTTTGCCTGGGGTATCTTCTGTTGGCCTTTTAGTCTTACTTTATCTTGTCTGCGAGCTTATGATGTGTTTCCTGCAGACAACAGATTGATGGGTTATGTGTTCAAGCCAGTCTGCAAGCCTCTTTATTTCAGTGCAGGAGTTAAGACCGTTGACATTTAGCGTTATTATCATGATCTGCGGATTCATTGCTGGCATCTCGTGTCTTTTGATTCGGGTGTTTTCTTATCCTCCTTCTTATCACTGTGGTGTGTCTTTGTGGGGGGATTCTTTATTGCCTTCTTTTCCCGTTGTGACCATGTTATCTTGGCGTTTGGTATTGGCTCGTTGGCGTCCGCTTGGAGTTGGGCTATATGGTGTTCTCCTATTTGTGCTTGGTGGATGTTGGTCTTCTGGCCATAGTGAGTAGGCAAGGTTCTTCCTCAGGGTTGGGTGCCTTGAAGTTTATTCCTTGTTGTTTTCTGTCCTGGAAGACCCTTATCTCTCCTTCTATCTTAATAGATAATTTGGGAGGGTAAAGAATTCTAGGGGAGGCATGGTTTTCTTTCAGCTTTTGGAGGATGTTAGTCCACTCTCTCCTCCTCTTCATGGTTTCTGTTGATAGGTCTGAGGCATAGTCTTACCTGAGAGCCATTGTAGGTGACTGTCTTCCTTTCTCTTGCTGCTCTTAGGATTTTCTCTTTTTCCTCAAAGTTGGATAGCTTAACTATTAGAGGCCTTGGTGTGTTCTTCCTGGGGTTTAGTGTACTTGGTGTTCTCTCTGCCTCCTGTATGAGTGACTGATTCTAATTCATTAGAGTGGGGAAGTTTTCTTCCAGAAATTCCCTTGTTAGTTTTGTTGTTGACATCTTCACCATGCCTTGTTCTGGCATGCCAATAAGCAAAGAATGGTTAATACATGTGAACAATTTACAATCATGGCAAGTGGCACTCTGGACATCTTCGTTTATAATGATGTTTCCAACAGTGACCACATGACATCACTTTACACATGAGACTATGTATCGAGTCTCATTTTTTTTGAAAAGCATAAGTATAGCCAGATTAACTGGTGCTAGTAAAGCTTCCTGTATAACCCATTAAAGGCTTAGTGCCACGGGGTAATTTCCACAGGTCCCACTGCTCAGGTCCTGTCTCAGGCTTCAGTAACCTGGGATAGGAGGCCCCCTTCATGCCAGGCCATTAACTGTGATGGGTAGTGGTCATGCTTTTAGGGGTCCTGAGACACTCACAATCACTGACATAATCACATGAGTTAACGTTGGATTCCTCTGAGTAATCCGTTAGAAATTTTCCGTGGGGGCCCCAACCAATAACAGTTACAGTGTCATATCTTAACACCATTCCATGTGACCCCTGACATTTGAGACATTTGAGTTTGTCATCAACGATATGCCGCAAGCTCATAATTATATAGATTTCCATGTCTCCTCTGCCCTACATTGTAGTGGAGTTTTCATATTCTGCAGATGCTTCACCCTTCATCATGTGGAAGCCATGACTGGTTTCATTAAAGACCAGCCAGTTATTCCAGGCACAAGACTCAGTGGTTAAACAGCTGGGGCTGGCATGCATAGAGAAAGATCCTTAAGGAGATGGACTAAAACAGTGGCTACAAAAATGGACTCAACTATTATAAAAACTATGAGGATGGTACAAGAACAGTTAGTTTTTAGGGTTTTCTTTTTTCTGTCACACACAGGGTAGCCATGTGTAGGAACTGGTTCTGAAGCAACTAACTCACTGCCATCTAATCCATTACAACTCAAAAACACCCCCATAAGACTGAGTAGAATCGCCTCTGTGGGTTTCTAAGACTTTAACTCTTTATGGCAAAAGAAAGCCTCATTTTTCTCTCACCAAAGCACGTAACAATGAAAAAACAAAATTCAAGACATGCAATGCATGCAGTAGTTACTTAAAATCTAGCTGTGAGAATGTGGTAGTTTATTTTTCAGGCTTACATTAATTCTTTCTCATGAAATATATGAGAACAACAAGCAAAAGAGATTCTGATCATTGTCCCTCGTAGATGTTTTATTCTTTAACCCTTTTGATGTGTTCCCATCTGGATGTCGTAAGATAATATAGCACTTTGGGGCAAAGATGCAGCCTCGAAGCCCCACACTGGAGGCCAAGATGGAGAAGTTCTCCACAGCCACCATGACCTTCCCCTGGGTGCTGTGGTAGACAGGGAGGAAGTTCACCCAGTCACTGCAGAACACCAGCATGCTGAAGGTCAGGACCTTGGCCTCATTGAAGGTGTCAGGCAGGCTTCTGGCTTGGTAAGCCAAGAAAAATGTCCCCAGGGCCAAGAAGCCCAGGAATCCCAGGACACAATAGAAGGCAGTGACAGAGCCCTTGTTGCACTCAATGGTGATTATCCTGGGTTCAGAGTATGTGCTTATGGCAGTGAAAGGGGCCGCTGTTCCCAGCCAGATCCCACAAATAATCAATTGGAGAAGGGAACAAAAGGGAACCACCAGGTTTACAACCCCAGGCACCAGCAACTGCCTCATAATTCCTCCAGGTCTCATGACCTTGCAAGCCAGAATCACAGTGATGGTTTTGGCCAAAAGTGGTGGAAACAGCCACAGTGAATACGACTGCAAAGGAGATATTGCTGAGGACGCAGGTGACTGTGTTTGGAAGACTGATGAAGAGTAAGGAGCGGAGGAAGCAGATTAGGAGGTAGAGGAGGAGGACGTGACTGAGGGTGCGGTTCTTGGCCTTAACCATGGGAGAGTCTCTGTATTTCACATAGACCCACAAAACCAGGGCAGTGATGACAGGGAAGCACAGAGCTGTGCAGGCCAGAGCCATCCCCAGTGGGTCTTGATAATCCAGGGAGGTCACACTTTTGGGTAGACAGCGATTCCTCTCAGTGTTGGGGTACTGACTTTGGGTGCACTCCCAAAGTTGACCACTATCTAGGGGGAAAAGTGAGAGGGAACATGAAACAGAGGAAAGGGTGACCTCTTTCAAATCTCAGGATGGTCAGGTATACGGTTTTATTGGTTTTAATTGTCTCTTCTCTATATCTACCTGACAACTCTGATTTTTAAAAACCCACATATCATCTTTCCATGAAAAGTTGTGTGACTTGTCAAAATAGCTGTTTGATGCATTTGACTCGACTCGACTCCTGGAATCGGCAGAAACGCAGAGCAGGACTGTGCTCCCTGTGGTCTTCTGTGTCTTTGATCTCTTGGAAGCAGATCAACAGGTCTTTGTCGGAGGCACCTCTGTGTGGGTTGAGAGTATAGTTGCGTGATTAACTGTGCTACCCAGGGCCTCTTAAAGGCTCATAAGTATTTAGAGAAATTGATTGTGGGATTTTGTCAGTCCATACCTGTTTGATTAGCTATTCTTTATTCTGGACCCAAAATGCAATCAAAGCAGCAGACAGGCTGCCCTTCCTGAGGAATGTTCATGAATCCCAGGCCACAGCTCTTGCTACACACAGGTCGGGGAGTCTGAAAGAAAAGAATTATTAATAATAGTTTAATAATATTGTATAACGGAATCATATCATATAATGTAATAATATTAACTAGCATTGTTTTGTTGTTATTAAGTGACATTGAATAACATCTTGTTGTTCTCAAGGGATCTTAACTCGTAATGGTCCTAGTCTTCCAGACTGGTAATGACCCTAGTGATCCGGACTCAATGGCCCTATAAGACAAAGTCCAGTTGCCCATTTGGATTCCAAAACTGTAAGCTTTACAGAGCAAGTTGACAGCCCTCTTCTCTTATAGCTCCTATAGGTTCCAACAGAGATCCTTTCAGGCAGCCATCAAGTGCTTTACTTTTTCACCCCAGGGATCCTCAACATTGCTTTAAATTCCTCAAAATCCATTTTTGGAAATTTTCCATCATGGATGCACACAGGGAAATCAACTCGATATGAGGATCCGTCCTGTTGATGCAAGTCAAATAGTATGCTTTCCTGTGGTGGGAAAGAAAAACCCCAAATGAGTAAAGCCACTTTCAATTGTGTGTGCAAGTCATCCAAATTCTAGGTCACCAGATTATGTCCTGTCCTGTTTCTGTACACAGACGTCCCAGGGGGTAGCGGGTGGGTTGTGCTAAACTACTAACAACGTTTGGTTATCTGAACCCACCAAGCAGCACCACAAAATGTGGCCAATCTTCTTCTAAAAACATTCGAGTCAATGAAGCCCTACTGGTCCCAGTTCTCCTGTCACATGGGACGGCCAAGAGTCAGAGTCAACTTGACAGCGACAGAATCAAGGGTTGTGGTTTTTAAAAATTTTGTTTGTTGTGCATCTCAAATAGCAAAATTTCAACCACATTCAGTAAATACTCTTTTTGTTATTGTTCTTCGTGGGGTTTTCTTGTTCTTTTCTGTTTTATGAACAGTTTTAATTTTCATATTATTCACAAATCATGCAAGTCAATAGTTCAATCACATCAAGAAGAGCTGTCCAATCATCACCACCATCAGTTTTAGAACATTTTATTCATTATCATACTCATTGTTATTAGCTCCCCATTTAACTCCATACTCCCCTGCCATACCCTCAAGGAACCATTAATCCAGGTGTGCCTCTATAGATTTAACTATCCTGGATTTTATATACAGAAAAACATTAAAAGACAAACAAACCACAGCAACAAATACAGGGAAAAAACTAGTAAGAATAACAAAATAAACCAGATAATAACCTCAATTAAAAACTGGATTATTGCAGATACAGTTAGATTAAAATGTAGCACCCTATCATTTGATCTCCCTTAAGATACATATTAATTTGTTCTAGTTTTTAATATTTTTCCTGTATTTTCAGTAAATATTTTTTCTGTTTGAGCAGTTGGTAAATTACATTTTAAAATCAGTTAATAGTTCAGAATCTATTTGCGTCAGACAAATACAAATATATCTCCCTTAAATTGATTCTGACCAATGTTGACCCCATGCACCCAGTCCCAGTAATGAAAAGGAAAAAAGTTTACAGCCAAGAAATCACTATGAAATAATTCTAGTCAGTTAAACATGAGATCACTTTAATTTAAAGTATTCTTTAAAATCCTTTGGTACTAACAACGAATTAATGATATATTAATAAATAGAGATTTTGTAGTGAGTTACATGGTTATACAATTATTCCCATATCTTGTCTCTTCTTTGGGAAGTAGTTGAAGAATTCATCTAGTGGGCAAAAGAACTGCAAAGACATTTCACTCGGGAGGAGACCCCTATGGCCAATAAACACATGAGAAAGAGTTCCCATTCCTTAGCCATAAGAGAAATGCAAAGTACAACAACATAAGATATCATCTAACACCCTGTGGTTAGCCCAAATCAGAGAGCAATATATGTTGGAGGGATATGGTGAAATAGGAACTCTCCTCCGCTGCTGGTCTCATGTAGATTTATTTGTACAGCCACTTTGGAAAACAATCTGGCAAAACTTAAAGTAAATGGAAATTGATCTAAGAAATAAAACACGAGCAGTTGTCTGTGCTCCAATGCTTATTGCGGCACAATTCACAATCGTGAAGAGTTGGAAACATTCTAAATTTCCATCGATAGAACAGTGGATTGGTATACTGGTACATACACACAATGGAGTACTATGCAGCAGTGAAAAGCACGGACGATAACATGAAACGTCGTTTCATGGGATGAGTTGGAAGGAATGATGGTAAGCCGATCTCAAAAGGACAAGTATAGCACGAGTCCCCTGAGGTAAGTACAATCAGCACAGTAGGAACAGAAGAAAATACATTTATCTCACAATATACCGGTGGAGGCATGGGAAGTGGGGTGGAGGTCAGACCACACCCAGGGAGGTACATGTGAATTCAACATAAAGAAGGGGAAAGGAGGAAGGAGGAGGGAGAATGGGGGTGGGGAAAAACTGAGATGATGACATTGGGGGAACAGGGCACTACCCCACCCAGGGGGAGAGTATTGGTTGTGTCTCCACAGAATTGGAGAGTGCATACAGACCCCACCACGGCACACCAGACCAGGAGGGCAACATAACACATGGAGGAATGCATGAAAAGACTGGACTAAGGGCCGGCCTCAAGCAGAGCCAGCCTGACCCCTGCCCTGGAAGTGCATGCCACTGAGAATGACACTAGACCTTCAGGTGGAACCGACTTACCATGCCCACACGGAAGCAAACCAAGAAGGACAAAGAGAAAAGGGCAGTCAGCCCAGACTCCATATGGGCACACCAAGCCCAGAGGATGAGGTCCCTGCATGGAGCTGCTAAGGCACAGAGAGGACTATGGGACTATCCACAACTCAAGACAGGTTGTCGCCTAACTGGAGTATATGGTGACATGGGACAATAATGGGGACACACAGCCGGAGGACAGTGTGGGAATGGAGCATAACAGATCAGCAATTGGATTAAAGCCTATCCACAGAGCCCCCGAGGAGTCCCAAGAATGGTCTTCATGCTAGGAGGGGCAGCCCCCAGATCTCCCTGAGGACCAGGGGGCAGGGACTCATGGGGGCCAGCAAACAGACCTGGGCCTATGTAGGGTTTCCGTCTCTCTCTTTTTTTTTTCTCATCTTGTTCTCTCTCCTTTTCTGTTTTCAACGGTATGTTTTCTTATTGTTCAGACTAGGACATTGCTGATTTGCCTACTTGTATGGGTTGAACATGGGAGGGAAGCTCAGGGAGAAGGCAATGGGGCCAATGGTCCCAGAAGGTATAGGGGGAAGAAGGAGTTGGGGAGAAGGCTGTGGTGAGTGGACAGCGTCACGGACAGGGGAACAACTAGGGAATTGAAACCAACATCTAGGAGAGGGTAGAGATCCTGTGAGTATTAGAGCAACGCCAAGTGAATGGAGAGGAAGCACTAAGAAGTGGAAGAAGGGGAAGGTGATGATGGGCAGGAGGAAACACAGGCCAGCTCTAGGAAGCAAAGGCATAGATAGGGATATTCACAAAGGTGTGGCCTTATGTAAATACATTAATCCATACAATAGAGCTATTGGCCTATGTACATACATTTATGAGGTGATACACTGAGACTGCAGACGGACCTTGGCTTATACCTTCTCTCAATACAAGAACACTTTGTTCTAACAAATTGTCATTCTGTGATGCCCCCCCACACACACACACCCATGATCACTGAAGACAAAATGGGTGCATAAGGAGATGTGAAGACAGAAGATGGTGCCCTGATATGAAAATATATAGTGTCTTTGGTCTTAAAGGCTTGAAGTAAACAAGGGGCCATCCAACAATGAAGCAACAAGCCCACATGGAAGAACACCAGCCAGTGTGATCATGAGTTGGCATGGAGACCGGGCAACAGGCATCAGATTCACAACAAACAGTAAACAAACAAATAAAAATGCATTGGTGAGAATGCCAGAGCCCGCCGGCAAAGCAACGGGGACTCAATTGAGGAGGTGAGGACTGAGAAAAGACAGACACCAAAAAGCTGGGGTCAGGAGGACTACAATTCAAGACTGCAGCCCCGAGTTTATTTTCCAGCAAGCTTTTATACACTGTTAAGCGGGAATGTACTATTGCTCAAAATAGCGCCCCCATCCTTGTTCTTGTTTGTCAGGCAAATATTTTTCCCAAGGCTAAGCACCTGATGTTTTCAATAACATTAAAGCACAAAAGTCAATCTGACCGTGAGAGAGACAATCTGACCTTGAGAGAGCTGTGTCTGCACGTCCAGGTCCGTGAGAGAGCTGTGTCTGCACGTCCACATTTGAACGAACAGACTTCTGCTTTCAGAGCAGCTCCCACCATCTCCTCCTTTTTTTATTTACTGAAGATGTTTTTATTCAAAACGTCAGCAAATGACTGTGCCTGTCTTAGGATGTCAAGTGACGAAATCACGCTTACCTGTCATCAGCCACAGTCCTCCAGGCGACTCTGACCGGTCTTAGGTTGAGGGACTCGGACTCAATCTTACCCGTCTCTGACTAACCAGCCTCTGCCTTATACCCCCACTTGGGGAGGGGGCGAAGTCCGCAGGTGTACTTCATGTAACTTTGTACTTAAGGCCAATAATTCAACCATAACCTTAATGGTTAATAGAATAACACTACCAATGGTTAAAGATAATAAAACTTTGCTTGTTCCAAAGGGTTAATAGAAGACAGTCTCTTAGCAATTCCCTGAAAAATTTCATTACCAGTAAGTTTGGGTAATTGTCTACTGAAAGTTCACCAATTTGATATTCCAATAACTGAATTTCTAAAGATACATATTTATGTCCAATTAATACATTTCTAATCTTTTTCCAACCCTTACTAATGTTATATGGAATAGGAGTAATACAAAAATAAGAAGTGTTCCAATCACATCGAAGCATAACTCGAGGAGCTAACACAGATATCTGATCTCCCATCCACAACACTGTGTGTTGTAAGTTGGCGATGTCTTCAGCTATTTGAACATCAAGGTCATGTTGATGTTAATCTTTATGCCACCCTCAAACAAAGTCTGCTGTTTGTATTTCTTGCTGCAATAGATGTTACAGCTACAAGTCCAATCACTGTGGCTATTATCAGTCCAATCATTCTCTTTGTTAGATGGGTCAATTCAGTCAAGGCATTGTCGATCTGCATTACTCCCACAAATTCACTCCAGGGTTGAGTTAAATTGACAAGTAACCAAATCTCAGGATGTGCTTTAACAAGATACAAACTGTCTTGGGTTGGTTAAAAGTTTTCCACCAGGTAAAATTTACACATTGTTGTAAAGTACAATTTTAAGAACAAGTCAAAACCCCTGTACTAGAATTCCAAGTAAAACTCCTGATAAAATAACAAAAGGAATTTTCACACAAGCTTGAATATACTGAGTAGCATTAATATGAAGATTTACACTAATAGGCGCAACAGTATTAGAAATATTGATAGACATATTGCCAACCCAGGTTTTCATTGGCTCCCCAGATGCTAATAATTTCCATAAATGACCTTGAGAGTTTGTATCTCCCAACAAATGTGGCATAGGAGGGGTTAATCCCCCATCATGCCAAATATCAGTTTCGTTGCCAGTTCCTTTCAAAGAACCATTATGCATGTGCCATATTAAAGGTATTTTTGAAAATTTATTAATAAAGTCTCCATGAGAGCTCCAATCTACTATCTTAAAGTCTGTACGATTTAACAATATCTTAGGCTGTTCTCCTTGACAATGAGTCCATACCAATTATTGCATTCCGGGATCAACATTAGGGAGTGGGCAAATAGATAACACAGGGTACAAGTGGTCTCAGAGATATTACTAAAGCCTCTTGCAGAAATAAGAACCGTAGTTACTGCAAAAGAAGAATGATTATATCTCACTCCCCAAACCTCATGTGAATAAGATAAACAATGAGAACCATATCTTGGGAAAATAGGGAATCCCCTCTCCCCCAAGCTATAATTATTAATAATCCTGTCTTCTTCTTCAGCAAAAGGAAAAGGGAACATTTTTAAACTCTTGCAGAAACTTCTGAGTGCGGGACTTCTTAGCCATCTCTCCGTTTCAGAAGTCGCGTTGACAACCACTCAGCTCCAGAATCTGTGGAGATAAGAGCAAACCCTCGACCCCATTGTAAAATCTCTCCTTCTATGGTTCTATAAACTATTGGTTCTGGAGGGGAACACTTTCTTTTAGGCTTAGGAAAAGGAGATAGGGTTGCAGAGTCCTCCAGCGCCTGTCACTGATTTTAGCAGACAGAGTGCTTTCCACCAACCACAGCACCAGCTATAGACCCTGCAAACAACTCAGCTTGTTATGCAGTTCCGCCAATCCCTGCACAAGCTCTGATATGAGAAAAGCTATTATTCCTGGATCGGGAGGCGGCTCCTCCCCATGTTTTGGCTGTGCGAAAGTGAAAATATCTCCGGTAAATGGAGCAGCTAAAGGGCTGTTAGCAGAATGACATATAAGCATTTGTTTTAGCAATTTTATAATCTCTTGAACATCATTTCCTTCTATCACAACATCTGATTCTTTCTTTGCTAATTCTGCATACTCCTCTTCCTCCCTTTGGATTCCATTTTCTCTCTCTTCTTTATCTTTTTCTTCAGCTTTCTCTGAGTCTGTCTCTACTAACTGTAAAGCTTGAGTAATAGCACTACTGTACACAAAAACCATAGCTTTAAACTTAGTCTGTCTCCATTGATGAGCAGTGCATAATGTTTTTGCTACTTGTTGCCATGCTCACGAATTCAATTTAACCTTTTCTTGACTGTAAAACCAATAACAATGTTGTATATGTGCAAATAATTCTCCCAATAATTTATCTTTAACCTCCAACCCTGTAGAATGGAGAAGTCCTTTTATCAACACTTGGTGTTCGCGGTCCATGGACGGGAATTTCCCATTTTTCTTTTCTTTTTTTTTTTTTCTTTCACTGAAAGTCCCTCTTCTACAGAGGCGCACCCTTCCGGTTTTCCCTGCTTCACACAGGTTGAGTTATTACCTCCAAAAATCCCTCTTGCCTAGGATCCAAGCTATCCCTAATTAAATTCCATAGGCAAAACGTATCTATGGGGACCTTGCTCGGTCCATTACCTGCATCTTTTAGTCTTTCCCCTACTTTCAGCCAAGTTTCAGTATTTACAGTCCCACCCTCAGGGAACCAAGGACATACTTTAACTACAAAATCTAAAAATGTCTCTAATCTTTGGTAGCTTACTTTTGTTCCTCTGGCTTTTAACATATCTTGAAGCATATATACAAAAATCTGTTTGCTATTTCCATTACTAACCTTAACGCCTCTAGAACGAAGCATACTTTTTATCACTTGTATAAACAGCTCTTTGCTGTTTCCATGTCCCATGTTTTACTCCCGACGATACCTCCCTGCCTGAACTTCTTTACCTTTTTATTCGACGCGTCTTTGTTCACCGGGCAGTTTTCCTCTACCTGTTCCCGTGTTTTCGAGCTTCCACGTTGGTCGCCACCTGCGGGAGCCCGCCGGCAGAGCAACGGGGACTCGATTGAGGGGGTGAAGACTGAGAAAAGACAGACACAAAAAAGCTGTGGCCAGGAGGACTGCAGCCCCGAGTTTATTTTCCAGCAAGCTTTTGTACACTGTGAAGCCGGAATGTACTATTGCTCAAAATAGCGCCCCCATCCTTGTTCTTGTTTGTCAGGCAAATGTTTTTCCCAAGGCTAAGCACCTGATGTTTTCAATAACATTAAAGCACAAAAGTCAATCTGACCGTGAGAGAGACAATCTGACCGTGAGAGAGCTGTGTCTGCACGTCCACATTTGAACCAACAGGCCTCTGCTTTCAGAGCAGCTCCCAACATGAGAATGGAGGGGGGTTGGAGATGAGACCCAAAACCTATCTGTGGACCATGGAACATTCCCCCAAAGAGGGACTGCAGGGAGGGGATGAGTCAATCAGGGTGCAGTAGAGCACTAATGGCTCACGCAATGTACCTCTGATCCCTTGAGGGCTCCTTACCCCCCATTATCTTGACACCAGTGCTGCTTCCCACTCTGGAGTGGATGGGAGCATGTACATAGGTACAGGCAAGAGATAAAACTCACACCCCATGGAACCCAGGAACAGGAATAGAGATCCCAAAAGGGTAGGGGAAGGAAGGGAGAAGTGAGGAGGGAGGGGGGCACTGATCACAATGAATGGTACATAACCACACACTCCCATCCAGGGGGAAGAACAACAGAAACCAGAGGGGAAGGGAGACAGCGGTCGGAGTGAGATTTGAAAATAATTAACAATCTATATCAAGGGGCCACGAAGATTGAGTTGGGGGCGAGGAGGAAGTGCGGGGGTGGGGGTGGGGGGTGGAATCTGATCCCAAGGCCTCAATGGAAAGTAAATGTCTATAAAAGAATGGTGGAACATATGTACTAGTATGTCAGATACAATTGATGTATGAATTGTAACAAGAGTTGTAAGAGCCCCCAATAAAATGATCTTTAAAAAGTTGAGATGTCACATCCCTCTATCTGCAATTGAGAGAGGGGAGGACAGGGTTTACTAAACAGAGAGCTTGGAGAGAGGAGTATAGAAGATCAAAGGCGTATGTCTGACTTGAACAGTTAAAACAGTGTCAGTAGGATCCCCCTACGATGCATGGCTGGCCTGATCTGGTTGCTTGTCCATATTAGGGTGTATCTTAGAGGTGTCGTGTCTTTTGAGATAACCCTCTTGAAGTTATTGGACCTTTTCCTATTTTTTGGTATATGAAGCTCTGGATTAATGAATCCATAGGGCAGTGGTTCTCAAACTTCCTAATGCCTCAACCCTTTAATCCAGTTCTCATGTTGTGGTGAACCCCAGCCATAAAATTATTTTTGTTTCTACGTCATAACTGTAAATTTGCTACTGTTATCATTCCTAATGTGAATATCTGATATGCATGATATATTTTCATTGTTACAACTTGAACATAATTAAAGCATAATGATTAATCACAAAAATATGTAATTATGTATTGTGAAATATTTATTTCTAATGACAAATAAATGAAATTTTGTCTTGAAGCATGGTGTAGCATGCATAAGTCTTCACATGGGTACTCATGTATGGGCGTATCTGCATGTGGGCGGACCCGCCTGAAGACCGATAGAGGAGCAGTATCTCAGTGCCTAAGACCCGCAAAGGGGTCGCGACCCACATGTTGAGAACCGCTGCTATAGAGGCAGCAAGGAGAGTAAGGGTTTGGGGGGGGGGGTTAGTGGGCTACAGGGATGGAGTGGGAGGGCGGGGGAAGGGGAGACTATGCCAAGGAGCCCGTGTAGAAAAAGAATTTGGAAACTGTTGTAGCAAATTGTACATTTCTGCTGAGGTGATGGAACTATGGCATGATAAGATAGATAGATATATCTTTTAAAAGATGACATCACATGGGGTTGCCACGAGTCAGGGGACTCAAGTGCACCTAAACAGAACCAGGCACATGTGGGAGGTACCTGTCCTTGCCCCCTGCCCTCCCCCTCTGCCCCCACTTGCTGGAGAATGTGAAGGACTTGGTCTACTTCTGGAAACATTTCATGGTGAGTGGAGCCCACTGGTCCCTGCCTGCCTTGCCTGTAGCTCCCCGTGGCTTAGAGGGCTTGGACCCAGGGCCCTTCAGAAGAGGAAGGTAACTGGGGCCCCCCTCCTCTTCTTATGGGGTTCAGGGCCCCCTTGGGGGCGGTTTCTGCTCTCTGACTGGGGCCCTTCTGCTTTGCAAGAAGTATGCCCTGGGAAGGGGAACCTCAAAGGCAAGTTGTGGGGTGCCGGGCTGCCTCCCTCACCCCTCCAGCTCCCTTTACCTGGTTTCCACTGGACCTGTTGAGGGTCATGACTGCTCCGAAGAGCCAGCACCTCTTGTGAAGTCCAAGAGGGACCTGCCTGTCCTCAGGTGGAGGACTCAGGGGAGGGCATGTCATCATGATGTTCTGGAATCTTCCTTGGGGGTCGGAGGGGGATCCACCTGGGGATCTGCACGTGGTGGCGCACTAAGGTGACTCCTCTTTGGGATTTGTAGGGTCCCCAGGAGGGATAGTGAGACTTTTCCATGGGAGATGGGGGGGCACAAGGGGTGCTCGTGGGACCTCCAAGCAAGACCTATTGCTGGATTCGGGGTGACTTATAATTCAGGGGACACTGCTATATTTCGGACAGGGTCTTGTCCGTCCATCCCCCCCTTGTCCCCAAGAGGCCTGAAACTTGAACCTGCAGGTCCTAGATTTGATTGATTAGGTGGGGTCCCACCCCCCACCCCTTTGTGGTATGTCATGCCCCATCCTCAGACCAGTCCTGGATATGAGTGAGTAGATGGGTTCAGTCTCCCCACCCCCACGTGGCATGACACCCCCCCATGCCTCTAATCAACTCTGCAGGTCCTAGACATCACTGAGTGCCTGACAAGTTCTCGGAGCAGGAGAAACACACTGGCATTTAGAAGATGAAGCTGGCGGTAGACACGGTAGCTGGCTCTACGTCTTCACGCAGGTGAGGGGACCTGGAGAGCCCTGCCCCTTCCCAGGCTTTTGTGAGCCTTCCCAGGCCCCTTGTCTCCCACCCCAAGTCCTCTCCTCCAAGACCAACCACTGGACATCATGGGGGGACTTTTGGAGCATGGTCCCAGAGGAGAATGTCTTTACCCATAATCAGGGGGCTTGCATGCCCCCATAAGATACATAAGCTTTGGTTAGAAATAAATTGTTCTCTCTCTCTCCTCTTCTCTCCTTTCCTCCGCCCGCACTATGCACAGACCTGGCGGGTGAGATCATGGCGGTCCAGGAGGTGAGCATGCTACCATGAGCATGAAATGTGTCTGACTCCTTTATTTTACCTTCTCTTCTATCTCTCTTATTCTCTATGACTTTACTATCATCTTTATATATCATAACCATACAATTGCACCTACTGGACCTGTGATAGTGTGAGGGGCTGGTTTCCCCCATACTCATTCAGAAACCTTGAAGACTTGGCTGGTCCACTTCTTTGGATGCTGAGATTGAGTTCTGGGTTCACAAAGGATCAAGCTCCCCATCTCTGCCAACCTCTACCCCATCCTCAGTAATGCCTCCCCATCCGCCTGTTCTCTTAAGGTTTCATCTATTGGTGAACTTTGTCTAAGTCAATCAATGTACAGTGTTAAACTCTGGGATTAATTTTTATGCATATGAGGGACTCTGGTAATGGAGTGGTTGAGCTGCTAACCAACAGGCTGGCAGTCAACCCACCAGCTACTCCTACTCCATGGGAGAACAGTGGGGTGCTGTCCTTTCATAAAGATTATAGCCTTAGAAACCATAGAGTAGTTCTACTTATAGAGTCACTATGAGTTGGAACTGACTGGATGGCAATGGTTTGGGGACCTTTTGAGGGTGTGTGTGTGTGTGTTTAAAATAACTATAGATCTTAGTTTGGGCTACAATTTTAGCCTATCATAACCTCTCTGAGTAACTGTAAATAAGAAGTCAAGTATCATTCGTTTGTTAGTTCCCTGGCTCCAAAACTGTCAAGTATGAATGTGTGTTTCTATTTCAGTGCCTTGACTTTTCCTCTCCCAACTTTAACCAAAGGCTTTTTGCATCGAAAGGCTTGATCCAGGAATCACTATACAAAAGTAGATTCATCATACTCAGGAGCTGAGTGCTTTAAACACAATTTTAACTTCTAAATGTAAGCAGCTTGTCTTGACTGAAAGAGGATTGGATTTTTTTATGCTGTCAGTACCCGTTTCTTGGCCCTCACTGTTCACAGGAGTCTGTATTCACTCAGCGTTTCTTAACCTGTGGGTTTTGAATTCTTCTAGGGAAAGAATTATTGATTTTGCTTGCTTAGCCTTGAAATAGATTCTCACCAGGGTCTCTGATCCATGAAAGGTGAACCACTGGTGTATCATGGCAACAGTGGACATGTACATGTTGTGCTTTCCTGTGAAACATTCCAGTTTCTCTCATGACACCCCTTTGAGTAAGCTCTACTATTTTCCTTCTTTAGATGGCAACTTGAGCTTACAGCAGTTAAATAACTTGTCAGAAGTCACATAGACAACAACATCAATTCCACATGCCCCAAATAAATTCTGGATTTAGCCAGGTTATTTTCATCCCCACTAATCTCTGGAATCACAGGGTCCTATAGGATCTCATGAGTTGGCATCTAGTCATTGACAATGAGTGAGTGAATCTCTGGAGAAGGACATCCTGTTTGGTAAAGCAGAGGGTCAGTGAAAAAGAAGAAACCCTTCAGTGAGATGGATTGAAGCAGTGGCTACTACAATGGGTTCAAACATACTTCTATTCAACTTAGTAGCAACTCAGGAGCCCCCACTGATCGATGGGAGACTACTGTAGATGAGGCACATTTGGCCAAGAAGTAAATCCAAGCTTCCTGTATGGATGGGGAGAATTCAGTATCTGTTGTGATGTCATCCCGTCTATTCTGACATTTGGAGACCCTATATGAGCAGAATGGAACTGCTTCCCAGGGTTTTCAAAGCAATGATCGTTTGGAAGCAGACCTTCAGGCCTTACTTTGATGAGTTTAAAC